CAACCTGGTGGGGGCAGCTGCAGACCAAAGAGGTCACTGAAACGCAGAAGTGGGAGAACAACAGATCTGCTACAGGAAAGGTCCCAGACCTCCTCTGCAGCAAGTAACTCATGAAGAATTACCACAGTAATCCATTCCACTGAGTGTACAGCTTGTCCATGTCAGACAGGCACACACACAAAATATACCCTAGTTAGCAAGGCCGGGGTAGTACTGAAGAGCTCGTTTTACACATAGTCTGTAACACTGAGTTTCATGCTCCTTCAGTTATTAGTTATGGGGATAAGGATTCAATTAAGCCGATATATGTTTGAAAGTTCCCACTTAGGGAAGTGCATGTGTCTATGTTTCTGTGATTGTGTCGGTGACTGTGGCTCTTTGTACTAGAACTGTGGGCGAATAAAACTCTAAATCCAGAATTAGGGAGACACAGGGTAGACTTTGAATTCAGACCATAATCTTGTAGTTCAGGTTCATCCCTGTTGTAAGAGTTTGTGTGGCTCTGGATGAGTGGTAGTGCTTATCAGTGTCTGTACAAGCAATTGCATAACTAAGACTGACACAAGAGAGTGAGATGGCAATAGGACTAGTCTTGCCCTTTTGCTGAATCAAAATTTCTTTTCAATTGAAAGACTCTGTAGTGTCACTCTAGCATATTTTAAAACAAGATTTTTTTTTTTTAAATTCTGTTTTCTAAAAATTCTGGCTGTGGGCCAGCACTTGGAAGGAAAATCTCTAGTTGGTGAATAAAAGTCAGCCAATCTTTGAACTAGACCAGGATCTCAAAGCTGAGAAGGAGAGGGTAAATCATGAGACAGTTGTCTCCTGACACTGCAGCAATTTATGGGAAATGAGAGGCTGCAGTGCTTTTAATATTAACCGATTTTTACCTGAAGAGTAAGTATTCTGGACCAAATCTGTGCCCCAGACCTGTTCCTTAAGGCATTCGAGAAAAGATAGATTTGGTTTGTTATGTATAAACCCATTTTTGGTGTTTCAGCCTGAAGGGGTATTCAGCTGGAGGTAAAACACTGGATTTAATTCTCCATTTGAATAAGTAATGGGGAAAGAAGCTTAATCTGATATCTTTTTTCATCATGGTTTTCATACATTTGACTTTTTTGTTTTCTCTTCAGTCTGTTGAAGTCCCAAGAGTGACCTTGACAAGTGATTTCTCTCACTTCTTCTCAGTGTGAATAATCCAAATTTTTTCTGTGCTTATGGATTTCCTTGAGACTAAAAAGCTTGAAATAGCAGCTTTTATCTTAAAATGTTTAAACTTGATTGAGTCACAATAAGTCTCTAGCTGTCTGGATATGTAGATAGATATCTGTTCTTGGCACCTATATGGCCTTCACTGATATAGTCTTCAAGCATCTGGAAATCCTAGCAGGGTTTTAGTCCCACTACCCCTGGTGATGGAAAACTAAAATGTGGCACACAGGGAGGCGGCCTGTCCAGAGGCTCCTGGGAGGTCCAAGTGCAAGTTCACAGCAGCATCCACTAGATCAAGCCTATCTTCTCACCGTATTATCAGAGCAGTTGTGGGAAAAAAGGAAAAAGAGCCTTCTTTATCATATGTTAACACACTTTCAGGCTAAATTTGCCCCTTCATAAGAGTCATAATGGTTTAAAAATAAGTTTAAACATGGAGAATGTTGTTTTAAAAAATACACTTATACAAACAAATCAAATGGATAGCTAAGGGCAAGTTCTCTTACCAAGCTGTAATAAAAGCAGACTGATTAAGACTCAGGGACTTCAATAAACCAGTTCTGGATTTGTGGTGGAACTTGAAGAAGCGAGTGAGCCAGCAGAGTCAACACTAGTGAGCATCTGTAATGACAAAAAGTGACAATCCTTCACCTGCTATCACTGAAAGAAACTTCTTGATCATTTCAGATGAGACATTTTTCTGGTTGGCCCATCAGAAAATGCCATATTTTCCTTCAGGATTGATGTACACCATCAATTAAATTGATGTTCATATATACAGTGAATCCAGGAGTGTAACTGATATGTAATCTAATGTAACCCATCCCACACTTTACAGAGTTTGTAAAAGAAATGTGAACACAGCAGCGTAGAGAAGAAGGCAGTGGTTTGCTGAGGCTATCAGCTTACAGGTTCTGCTATGGCTGGCTTCACCTGAAGCTTTTTTAGTCCTTAAAATTGACTTACCCATCTAGACCTTTTGCTTCTGCAGTGTGAAATGGGAATAAGGATGTACTTATCCAGAACCAAGAATCACAGAACCATTTGATTTGGAAGGGAACTTTGGAGGTCACTGTCCAAATTCCTGTGCAGAATAAGGCCAACTTGAAGCCATACCTGGCTTCAGGGTTGGATCAGGGGGCCCAGGGATGTCACCGTTTCTGCCTGGTGTGTGAGACCTCATGCATCAGATTATGGGCTAGGGAGAGGGGGCAGAGGGACCCCTTGGGGCAGGGTCTTCTGAACATTATTTCCTGATGCAGGTATTAGAGGGATGCTTCTGGCTTTCTGAACATCACAGGAGGCCAAGGCTTGACACGGCAGGTGGGTGGGATGTGGGGTCTTCACTCCAGAAAGCCCTTGGTTGTCTCCTCACCATGCAGGATACATGCCAAGCCTAACAGAGGGGTAGGACACGACAGAGTAGCAAGAGGACAGAAGCCAGCGTGCCATAACTCTTGCAGGAGCAGCTGTGGCTTCCCTGTGTGTCCATCCCTGCATCTACTGTAGGCTGGGAAAGGGCAGCAGTAGATTGAACGAGGAATCTCACAATCCCCAGGTATAACACAGGGTACAGAATAGCCTTATTGCTCCCCTGCCTTGGGGAAGAATTTGGTGAGTGTAGTGAAACAGGAAAGTAAAAAGAGAAGCTTCTGCAGATGAACTGCGGTCGCTGCTCTCCAGCAAGCCTGTGACCTGCGCCCTGGCCACCGCTGTTCTGCTTGCACCCTCCTCTGCATGCGAGCGAGCTAATCCCGCGGAACGGGAGCCCGCAGCCGGAGCGGTAATTAGCCGCGAGCGCTCATTAGTGTAACTCCCGCGCTTGGTTGGTGTTTGGGCGCCCTCTCCTGGTGCGGACCGGCCGTGCGGGGGGCAGTGTCCAACGTCAGGGAAGAGAAAGGGGAAGGGAGACTACCTTTATCCTACGCCTTGCTGCCTGTATGTAAAAATCCTGTACCGCCTGTAGGACGTTGCTGAGCACTCAAAACTTGGTCTGGTCAAGTTTCCCAGACGCCCTCCTTTCCCCCTTCCCCACCCACTAAAATTCTTCCCTTTTGCTTCCCTTTCCTGTGTTTTTTAGTGTCTGTGAGAAAGGTTGAATTGTCTTGCATTTTTTATGTCACTGGCTTCTCTGATGGTCTATAGAGACAGGCATTAACACAGGTTTGCCCCTTAGTCTTGTTCTGTCCCTGTCATAGTTTTGAACTATCATCTCTTCCAAACACCTGAGCCTGTGTTGCTGCAGACAGGCCCTGGACCAGTTAATCTGAGGAACTTAATGCTGGTTGCATACTGGCATATATGAAAGATTCTTCAAGAACAGCCTTATAATTGATTGTATGCATCTTACTGTTTTGACATCATGACGCATAACTTAAAAAGGCACGGTAGCTAGAGTAATGATCTTGCAGTGAAAGTAATTATCCTGCAGAACAGTCTGGATATAAGTATAATTTTCATTCATTTAAGTAACTTCTGCTACATTCAATGAGCTATAATCCAGTGTAGACTTTTTTCTTCCTTCAATCTGTTCCACAAGGAATTCTTCAGCTTCTTATAAGGGATGAACTCCAGCAAAATAGGAACTGCATGAACAACCACAGTCATTTGCCACAGGGACCAGCAAAGACTAAAAGCATGAGAAAAAAGGAGCAACTTCTACATAGCTGTGAAAAAGTACCTGGGCTGCCAGAAAAGGGAATTGCTCTGTTATTGGACGCGGATTGCTGTCACATGTGCAGGAGGTTCAAGGAAGCTGGGTTGAATGAGGCAGGAGCATTCTTCAGAGTCAGAGAAGACCCTTGTTCTGCACTGAGATCAAATGTTTAACATCCTGTCTGCTACTATCTGTAGCCTGCCCTCAGCTTTGTTTCTCTCACCCAAAGATCCAGGGAGAAGTCAGTAATTGTGTAAGGCTGGAGATGCCATGTGGTATGCAAGGGAGTGGGAAAAAAAGCAAACCTTTGGCTTACAGGCCACAGAGTTGACATAGACTGAGGTTGTGGGCCAGCCACAATTGTCTTGGGACTGCTGTTCTCTTCTGCTGGCACGTCATCTGCCTGCAACAATATGCTGACTGAGCCTGCTTGTCTGTTGTAGCACTTATCCTACCACTCCTTTGCCCTGTAGAGAATTTCTGTATTTCAATTGTAGATCATAGCAGCTAGACTTTTTCTGTTCCTCTTCACTCAAGGTAGGAACAGAAGCAAGAGATTTTCTTGTGAGCACAGATACCATCCTAGGATGTGGGAATGGGCTCCTCAGATTTCTTTTTGCTTTTACCAACCTGTGAATCTTTCTTTCATATTCGTGAAGTCCATGTCAGCACTTCAAGCTTTGGTTGTGGTATGATAGCACAGAAGAGTGTCACACAGACAGCCTGCCTCTCTGCAGAATCTGACTACACAATGCGTGTTGCAGTGCTGTGGGTAGTACCCCACATATCCTAGTAGCCTGCAGAAGGTAGAAGTAGTATGTATTCATAGAAAAGAGAGTAAGGAGAAGTTAGAGATGAACGTGTTTTATTCAGTGAACTCTCTGCAAACACAGACTTCAGAAGAAGCTTCCTTTGAGAAGGGTTCCAAAGTGCTTGTGGAACTGGCATGAGCAGATAGCAACCAAGATGCCTATGGGTAAAAATGTGTATCAAAATAAAAATAAAAAGAACAGCTTAGAATTAAACTTTGGCTTCTCTTTCTGTGCTTCCTCAGGAAAGGATATAGACTAGCAGCAAAATGTTCTCAGCAGCAGCAAAAACTCTGGTGCTGTCAAAAAGATCTGACATGCGTTAAACTTCTGCAGATGCAAACTGAAGTCATGTCAGATGTGATCACTGAAGGAACTGTGTGCCCTGAAATTTCACAAGAAGACATTCCCCGCAGCTCTCTGAATGCCCATTGGGACACAAGGTTCTACTTACAGTCTAAAATATGGGGAGGAGGAGTCATAAGCATTCTTCTTTCAAAAGTAATTTTCTTGTCATTGTGGCGAATGTGGATAGTTATATTGACAGCATGAGACGAAGAGGTGTAACAGTGCATGTGGCCCCTTGAAGGACCTGTGGGAATAGCTGGTGCTGCTGTATAACAAATAAGTATCCAAATACTGGAAATTAGCTGAGAGCTATGATTCCCAGCTGAGAGTTATGATTCCCAGCCCAAAAGGAACAGAGAAGACTAGAGGCACATCTTTTCAAGGGATAGACTTTCAGAAGGGTCGAGGGACTAAGAGGCTGTTGCTAAGTGAAAGAGTTTTTATTCCCTCCTAGATTAATTTTAAAGTGCATTTCTGTCCAGCTTGCTCAAAAAATGTTTATCACACAGCTATGGCTTTTGTTGTCCTTGGCTAATAGAAAGCAAAACCAACCTCAACTGTGTACTCAAAAAGAAAATTGTACTTAATGCACATTTTCCCTCATCATCATTCTGCTGTTCTCTAACCTGCTTTGGAGGAGGATTATCTGGAGGTGACCTTAGATAATGAATGTCATTGTCTTTTGAATGCTTGACCTCCCTACTAGGGTTAGCCAGAGGGTTGCAGTGGTGCTTTTCATGGTACTGCATGAACAGGACTGCAATCACTAAACTTATTTTATTCATTTCAGGATACAGAAAGTAGATCACAACAACTTCAAGTCATTAGTGTAATGTTTGACACATTTTCTGTTTCACTTTCATAGATGTTGCTTATTCCAACACTTGTGACTGAATTTGCATTAAAGGCAAACTTGGAAGAGGTACAGATTTTACCTGGAAAATTCAAAAAAATCTACATCACTACAGATAAACCCATTCCTTCTGGCATTTTGCTACTTCCACATAAAATTTATTCCAGAGAATTCCAGCAGAAAATTTAAATCAAAACTTACTGAAATAAATGAAAATTATCATTCAGATCTCAGTATTTCTGTCTGAGTGTTGGTAAGGTTGTGAAAGGGAATTGTTTATATGAGCTGTTTCCTCCATTGCTAGTAAAACTTTGTCTGCTGATAGTTGCCACTATTGCTTGATACTCAGCTGGGTGTGGGAGGCAGGTGTGGGCAGGAGAATGCAAATGTGTCCAAGGTGCTCTTCTCACACACTCTTACCTTTTAGAGCTGCTGTTACCTGTTTTATAACAGCAAATCTAGATCTCGGCAAAGCTCAGTGTTACATTATGTTTCTGCTAAAATAAGGATGAACTCCCTCCTCTCTGCTGAATTGTACTTCACTGTCCTCATCACATATGATCCCCTCAAGCTGCAGTGTGAGGCCAGTTTTCACCTCTTGCTTCACACTGCTGGCTAGCTGGGATGCCACTTGGACACCACACAGGCAGCTGGGACAGCCATGTCCACTGTCTGTGGTTGAAAGCCTAACCCCATTGTGACATTTCTTTCTGACTTGAGACATATTTGGTCTGTTCTCAGGTGAATATTCTGGCTTGGCACTGTGGCTGTGACCATCAAGCCGGGGAATAGTTTTCTATGTGTCATTCCTCACAGAATGCTTTTCCTTTGCTGTTTAACAGAACTGTAAATACACTATTGTACTTACGTATTTATGACATTCTGAACATCAATGCCCATATTCATACATTCAGCAGCATAAACGCTGAAGAAGCCAGTCCTGCTCAGTGGTGCACTCAAAGATCCAGTTGGATCCAGTACACATCTTTACTAGCACTTTGTGCTGTGTTTAAGGGAGTGAGGTTACCGCAGCCTTTCTCAGCTGTCTCATTGCCCCATGAATGTTTTGAGCAACTGATACACCTCGTTGGCTGTTCATTTAGTAACTTGAACTGGTGATATTCTTCGCCTTGCACATCATGATTTAATATGCATAAGCATTGACACTGTATAATTGTTTATTAGTTTTGGCTTCTCTTTGAATTTTAGAGTAGAAATCATGTTCTAAGAAATAGGCTTTTAGGTCAAATTCTCTCTTGCTTTTCCCATAGTCTGTCATTTCGTGAACTTGAATCAGTTTTTTTCATTTGTGTTCTTTGGAACTATCATGTCTTTTATCTAACCATATATCCCAGGCCATAATAAAACTTGCCTTGCCTTTTGCTAACCTTTTGCAATACCTTTAATACTACGTTTTTCTTAAACTGCTGAAATCATCATATTTCTCCTTCTGACACTACAAGGTTCTGTTAGTTCTTTTCTTTCTCAAATGCCGAGATTGTGGGGCTTTAAATGTTATTTACTTACTCCATCCTTATAAAACTGTGGATTTTAATTAGTGCAAAGCTAGAGGGGGGAAATATATGTCTGGGATAATTTTCATACTCTGTGGAATGAAAAAGAATGGACTTTATTGAATGGGCTTTATTTTTAGTTGATGTAGATCTGTTTATTGACTAGCTAAGCATACAACTTCTCTTGAAGTTGAATTATTTTCCATATCGGTTGCAGTTAAAGACTAAAAAAATAAGTTTGTAAAATACATTTTTCAGTTGGAAAGCAGTAAATTTATATAAATAAGGTATTGTGCTGTAACAATAAACCCTGTCAAAATTCTCTATATCAATACAGTATTTGTGTTCCATTTAGGAGCAAAAGGTGGCTGCAGTGTTGTTGAGAGATGTTGGAATAGATAAATCACTGCCCTTTCTGCAATAAGTACCTGTTCTTCTGAGAGATTTATAAACAAGAAGGTAGCTTGATCAAAAAAATATTTTAAAATAAATAGACAGAATTCTTGGTGGCTGGATTGTTTGTCTCTGTGTGTCTCAAGGCAACATAAAAATTACTTTTTACAGGAATATTTTCGGTAAGATACAGAACATTCCTCTGTGTCTTACTGCAGTTGAAGACACCCACAGAGGTTAGTAAAAATTGCCATCATCTTCAAAGTGGTGTATTTGCTTCAGCTTTCCTCCCCATCATACCAGAGTGCGCTATATTCTGCAGCAGGCAAAGGATGCCAGCCATTACCTTGCAAACAGTTCAAGCATGGACTGCACAGGTGACCTCATTCACATGCTCATGGGATGTGAGCACAGGCCAGGGAACAGAGGATTGGGCACTTGTCCCCCTGTGACAAAGTACCCCAGCAGTAGTTGTTGAGGCTGGAGTCAGCATACTCCTGCAGGAGTGAGCTACGGGCATAAGGAGCACGCTGAAGCAAGGAGATACCTGAAGTAGTAAAAAAAAAAATGCTGTTGTAAATCAACTCTTTCTACTTGGTTTCGATTCCTGGGTAGGTGGTGTCTATTCAACCAGATTGAAGTTCAGCATATGTTTCTGTATTACACAGAAAAACCATCTATGTCTTTCAATATGATCAACCTAAAAACTCTTCTGTAAACTGAGTCATTAGCTATTGTAAATCCATCACTTCCCTCTTTCCTCAGGGATCACTGAGACTGATTTTGGGAGTGTTTAGGGAAAGAATAATACTGACTTAGCAGACTTTATTTTATATACCTTATAATTACTGTGAATGTAGATAATTTTTTTCTCTAAGCAAATTCATCAATGAGTTTTTTTAACGTGTCTGCAGCAGGTCAGTCAGATATATGAATGCTCTGTTTGACATTGGGCATATGGCACAGAGATGTTGTTCTTCCTCTTCAGTAATATGTGCAACAAGTCCAGTGCTGTGGCTGGACTGCAAGAAGGGTTTTATGAATCTGCAAATATTTTTGGTGTTGGGCTTCATCTGTATTATCAGGCTGAATTTTTATAGAAGCCCTTAGTCAATGGAATTTCTTTTGGCAGAAGGATCATTACAATTATTGATTTGCATCTCTTTGTGAGACTTTTTTTTTCCATATCATATAGATCTGAGGGTTGTGCTGGTTAGCCTCACTGTACATGATCTATAACATCCACAGCAAGAATCTTTTTAACTAATATCAAAGCTGAGCAAGTATTTATCCTAACATCCGAGATACAGCTGTGTTTCTGACCTAGAGGACCATTGTTTCATTAGGCCTGATTAACTACAGCATTATTCAGTTTTGCTCTGTGTGGATTTATATCAGTGTACAGCTTCAGTAATATGATAAATTAAAACCAGTGCGCCAAAACCTGATTCAGCTGAAGTCAATAGCAGCAGTGCTGCTGACCTCACGTAGCAGAATGACCTGTTTGAAAGCAGTTGTAACATCCTTCTATCTCAACTTCCTCATGGCTTTTTATGACTGAAAGTGGAAAGAAGCCAGAATTTTTTTGTTTGTTTTAGCTTATTGTGTGCTCTCAGCAGCATGCGATTGTGCTGCTTTTGCAAAACACAGTATATATGTTACAGTCTCCAGTTCAAAGGATGCAGCTCTGCTGCCGTTGTCTGTTTAGTTATTGTTTGCCCTGCATTTGCTAGGCCTCCAAAAAGATCTGATTTACTGCCTTACTGTTACCCAACTGAAGGACATTTTTGTGGCTTTAACTGTTTCATGTATCCTTAAGAATGGTTTTAATTTCATTTTTAAAGCATAATTGATCAAATAAAGGATTATTTGCTGCCCACGTGCTTGACCCTTATTTAATGAACAGGAGCTTTTCTTTCTCTGTGAACCATTTACTCTTCTTGAGCTTGCTATCTAGGTTTTCACACTTTAAAGTCTTTTTCTGATGATGTAACATTCACTGTGCCATTTGATAGTGGGGGTTTAACACCATTTACCTCAGTGCGGCTCTAACAGTTTTACCAGCTGAGGATTTGGCCCTGATCTCTGCTGCATTAATTCACACAGGGTCCCTTCCAGCATCTCTGGTCAAGGTTAAATCAGCTTTACACAGCAGTCAGAGAAAACATTGTTGATTCATTCTATATGGTACATATGAGCCTTGATATTTTTCCTGTCTGTTTTGAGATGTCTATGTCAAGTGCCAAGCAGCTATCTAAACACTGAATATCTCCTTGTAATAGAGTTACATGGTTCCCTTAAAATCATGTTTGAATTCCAAGTTTTAAGTCAGTAACATGAATCAGCCATACCACAGTGCCCATGGTGACAAATGAAAGGCAAAGGCGACAGATATGTGACACAGTTCTTGAGATTACTTTGCTTCTTACATGTGTTATAACCTCTCTCTCATGGTCTTTACTCTTTTCTCGTGTGAAAGTGCTGTGTATGTACAGGGAGAAGCGCCATCACATGAAGAAATGTCACTAAGTACATGTGAGGAGCCTTCTCTGTGAGGAAATGTATATAAACTGTCACATAAAATCCGGTTCTCCTGCTCTAGTTTTTTCCAGTTGTAGTGAAATTTTACTAGATTGATAACTCCAGCCTTGTTGGAATAAAATATCTGCCCCTCCAAAAATTCAGGAGTGCTGTGCCTCATACAGACTATATCATATTTATTTAAGGAATAAGCACTCAGCTTAAATGTATTTTTTATAGCTTCTGGAAAACTGTAGCTTATGTTGGACACCTTTATTAACTTACTTTGAACCTCTTGTCACTGATTTAATAGCATAAAAATTCCATTCTAATATCATGGTACCTATACTTACAGTGTTCACACCATGTCATGTATATCATCTTCGGAGGCATCCACTGAATATGGGAAAATCAGATAACTCCAGCTGTTGTTATTACTTTTAACCCAGTGAGCTTTTGGGAATTATTCCTGCTGTTTCTTACATTGTAATAGTGCAACGCATAGTTTTGTATAACATCTCAATTTTGTTATAATTAATATAGAGTCCATAATCTAGCAAAAGAAAGTTTTGATCTGATATATGAAAGAGTAAGGAGGAGTGGAGAAAGAATGTTAAAAATTTCAGAGATTTTGATATTCTTTGGCAATGGCAGTTGTAGATCTGTTCTACACAAATTAATCCTGCATGAAAATGTGATTGGCCTTATGCATACCCTAGCTTCACTTGAAATGGATGTCCATCTAACTCCCATTGGTAGATTCATGACAAGGAAATATTTGGATATGCTGCTAAACCAGTTTTGCAACCACAACCTGGGTTAAGATCTGGATTTACTTTCCAGTTTTCCATATGAGAAACTTTATAGGGGACACCTGCTTCCATACAAGCGACATTCAAGTTCTGCTGGGTTTATATGAAAAACAAAACATTCAGTACTTCACCCGGGATGCGTCAGGAGGTTGTGCTTTCATGTTCTATTGCACAGTAGGAATGATAATACAGCCACATCATTTTGAATGCTGTTGCTTCATTTTCCACCTGCCTTAAATCTACTTTGCTGTGCACCAGTGTCTCAGTAAATGTCAATTCCCAGGAGCCGCATCTGCCAGTTTCCTGCCATAACCACCAAACCACACATGAAGGATTCTTCCCAGTACATGATGTATTCATTTGGCCTTGGGAACCCAGCCCTGTTGTGCCTGATCATCTTTAGACAAAGTCCCTCAAGGTGCTAAGAGACAAAGAAATTTGTAATGAAGAAAACTATATGGTGTCCCTCTGTTTAAATCTCATGGGCAGATCAGGGGTATATTGTTCCTATGCAGAGCAGCAAGGGAAAAAATCATTTTCTTTGCTGTTGCAAATGGAGAGATCATGACACTGGAAGAGCAGGACAGAAAAACCTCAGATAAGACTCTTTTTAAACATCTTTAGCTAACAGCGTAAGGGTTTTTTTCCTTTGACAACCCATCATTTTTACATTGCCAAATTCCAACTCAGACTGATTACAGTGGTTTCAAAATGCTGTATCCATACCTCTGCATGGGCACTTGACCCTTGAAAGGGGAAGCTATGTTATGTGGCCTCCATGTTTCCCTGATTACAGGTTTCAGGCAGGAGGATGGGTAGTTCTATGAGGCTGAGGAGTCATAGCTGATCCTGAAAGAACCAAATCAGTAGCAGGAAAGATTTTGTATGGCCAGTGTAGATGCGGGCAGTTTCTGTACCAGCCTTGTATATGGGGTATCCACTAGTTGAAAGGTTTTGTACTGACAGTAGTTTTTTTCTCTGTGTCTTAATAACAATTTTCTGCCTGCAGCTGTTTGCATTGCAGAATGCCTATGTTAATGCCACTTAATCTGAAACAAAGAAATCTGAATAATGAAAGTGATTGGGACTTCTGGAAGGAATGATAGTTTTAGGATAATTTCACACGTTCAATGTGTTTGCTGCTTGATATTTTATTTCCATAGCAAACATCCATTTTTCCATTTTACCGTGCAACAAAGCATGAGGTAAATTTGTTCTGTGAATCTGAATACCCTCAGTTCACAAGTTCCTGAACTTTAGTTGCTAGGAGTATCAAAGTCTGAGCCAAGCTGAAGGGCAGCCCATTTCTGTAACGGTCAGAGTAAAACCCTTGATCTCAAACATCTTCACTTATCCAAGAATCAAACTCTGGCCCAAGCTTCACAGCTTTAGCCTGATCTCTCACAGTGATACTAACATTCCACTTTTATCCAGAGGGTGCTACCAAGAAACCACTTGTAATATCATTAATCGCAAGATGTGCTTGTAAGTGTAAGAGAAGCTTAGTGTTGCTTGGTGTTCCTCACCTCAGCTCCTGGCAGAGTTTGCATGGCTGGTTCATAGCAAAGAAGGGACATGCTGCACTAGCTTGCTGCTGAGCAAAGAAAGTGGTTAACCTCGCGTATGTCTGCACTTCTGTCTCTCTACAATGTGCTCGTTGTTGAACTGGACAGCTATCGTGGAAAGACTGCTGATTCTCTTCCCATGTTCTTTAACTGTAGTCACATGTGGCCAAGCTAAACCCCCGCAGTGCAACTGTTTTTTCCTATTTACACATGTTACTAAGAAACATCAGCTAAGGATATGTTATTACAAGTTTGTGAATGACCCTATTCTTGGCACAGGGCCAAGCCAAACATTTTATTTCATTTAAAAAAGCAAAATGTGATAAAGTCAGTAGTTATGATTGACAAGCAGAGGTGGAGTGCTACTATGAAACAGAGAGACGGGAAATTCCAATGATCCTAATTAATAGGCATAGTCATTAATTCCATCAGTGGAATTATAAAACAGAAATGTCATTCTGTCTTAAGAGCAGTTAGGCCAGGAAAGGTTACAGGAGACAAACTGTAAAACAAAGACTGATTCATTGATCAAGGCACCTTGATATGACAAAGATGATTTTTTAAAAATCTTATTTTTGTTAGATTCATTAAGATTCAAGTCTATAACAAAAAAGTAAGGGGGAAACTAAAAAACAGAAATATGATTTAAGTAGCAAGGGTAAAAAATGAAGGGTAAAAAATCAAGAGACAGTTCTATGAAATAAACAAAGTAGAATCTAAAAAACTTTTAATTATCTCTAAGCTCAACACAGAATGCTTTCTCTTTGTCACATGAGTACTATTGTAACCCATTTGTCACTCCTCCCTTTCATCTGTTTATATATACAAGAAGGAATATGTCATTTTCTCTTTAATGGTCTTGTTAGAACATATAAACCAGAACATTCTAGTAACAAAATTACCCTCTTTTTGTGGTTATTTTCTGAGGAGGGATAGTAATTCAGAAATTACTTTTTCCCCCTCTTTGTACTGGTTATATCATTGCGGACTCAAAGTGCTGGCATGAGGCACACTGACTGCACTTGGAGTAGAATTTGGAGGGGATGTTACTGGAACACTCACTTGCACCATTCTGCTTGAGAGTTTGTCAGTGTTTCAATTGCAAACTGTTCCTTGCACAGATTTATAATTAGGTCATAAAAGTTCCCTCCCAGCTAAAATTTGTACTTCTTTTAAGTTTTATGACACAAGCACAAAATAAAAGTTGGGATTTTTTCATGGAATATATTTCATCATAAGCCATAAAGATTTATGCACTTAAATCTCATTCTTGTTTGGAAGAGTTACACATCAAACTCCATGTGCATGCATCAGCATAGAGTTATAGAGGCAAATCATCACCTGGTTGTCCCTAACCTCAGTGAAGCCCACAGAACAACACTGATTAACACCAGCCAATCTGGCTCATGGTTGGTGTTCTTCATTTGCTGGCTGTGGCCAAATTGTTTTTGTCAGCTCTTTGATCAACGCACTTGCAACAAACGTGGGTAGAGCCCCTCCCAAATCTTTGTTCGCGAAGCCTAGCCATGATGATGATGATCAATATAATTTCAGTATGATTTCTAAACTGATGGTAAAGGAGAGGGAGGCTCCATTTCAATGTACCTTGTAAATCTGGAGTAAGGACAAAACATAACAGATATTAGAGAATGAAATACAGGTTTTTTTCATCTATCAGAACTAACAGCCTGAATCGAAAATAAGTGGGGCCCATGATGCCCATTGGCCTCATTGTGTCTTGTCAAAAACTATAGAAAGCAACAGCTGGAAAAGCATCCAGAATATCCACAGCCCCGTTTCACAGGATGATCTCCACTGTTATGCCAGATACAAGGTTTTATCACAAACCATTTATTTGTTTATGAGTTATATTTCATTCCAGACATAAGAACTGACGTACTATTTTCATGTCTGTTACTATTCGTGGGAAAAACTGTGCTTCAGTTCATGAGCACCATTCACCAACATTGTATAGGGCTGGCTGCTAGAGAAGCATATGGGCCATTGTATCAAAGGTTCACTTCCTTCCTGAAGATTTAGCAGACCTATCAGTGATTTGTTTCTTTCCCAAGAGTACTGACTGTTCTTCCTCAGTTACTGTGGATTCTTGGAAGATCTTACCATTCGTCCGAAAGCCAGATCTTCAGGTAGTTGTGGTGAAAGCTGTGGGCTAGACAATTAAAGGATAGTGCAGTTGAAATGGTGCCAAATCCATTCTAAGTGCAGGCTTTTTGCAAAACCACCACAAAAATACTTAGGCTGTCATTTCACGTTATACTTTTTCTAATAACACTGCTGCTATTTTACCAATCTAGTTTTCAGGGATTTAGTTCTCTTTTGTAGACACAGCCACACTGTATTTCCTTAGCCAATAACTAGGGCTATGTGAAATACTCTCTCTCAAATCCCAAACCACCAGGCACTGTCCTGGTTTCAGTTTTCTTTATGCAGTGAAAATTCAGACTAGGAGGGTCTGTTGAGAAAAGGGTTTGTTAAGGTTCACAAACCTTGCAAACAAACTTTGGGCCTATTTTGATTAACTCTGTTTCTAATGGGTGGAGGCATGTTTGAAAATCAGGTTGAAGATGGCTCCTCCTGATGCATTTCCCAGGTCTTTGGCTAAGCCAACCAGACAAACCAAGCCTCCACTTAGACACTGCTTCTGAACAAAATTTGTAGTGCAGTCTGGCACTCTTTACCTCTCAGGTGGTTAACCTATGTTGGAGCATAACAGTGAAAGAGCCATTTCAAATTATTTTGAAACATGCCTCATTCTCAGTACAGGCATGGAACTAGCTAACAAGAGCTGCATGGATATAGTGTTCAGACTTCTTGGTCTTCATCCAAGGGTAGTCATAGCTCAAGGTCTTAAGTTACTGTTAGCTATATATTCAGAACAGAATGACAATTTTAACTCCTAAATAAGGTGATTAAAAAGAAAGCACCCCTCACCCTCATTTTTAACTCTCTGAAACAGCTCTCACCACTACAGCATTAAATGTGCAAGCGTGTATATGCATGATGGAGACACTTTTGCTTTTGTTTTTTGTCTTTCCTGATGTTGTATTCCTGAAACACTGTTTTATCACCAGATGAAAGTGTTGGAAGTGAAATATTGCCGTGTGGCTTACATTAGTGATAGTAATAGTCTGCTCCAAAATTACCCACCCAAAATGCCTTTGAATTTGTTTGATTGAATTGACCCGACAAGGTCTTGGACATGGCTAATTTTTGTTCTCTGGCAGTTTGTCTTCATTAGGATCCTGCAGAAGCAGCATTCTGCTGGAATACTGTCATTTCACAGTATGAAGTGCTTAAGGTTGGTAGATTTGTTGCCTCACATTTAATAAGTATTGAGTTTTTCGTGATTTTGGTTTTTTTTCTGTTTTCTCGATATGCATTCTAGCTCCAAAACTGGGGTTCCTCATACCATCTCCTACTAAATGGGAAGCTAAAATAGGCAGACTGTACTCTTTGTGTGGGAGAGGCACTAAATCAAGCATAGGTTGTGGTACTGTTGAAGCTAATTCTGGCTAGCAAATATGAATGAGACTGAGTAATGCTGCAATCTATCATATCTCACCCAGGGCAGTGTGACAGCACTTGCAAGGCATCCCATGTAAAAATAAAACATATCTTAAAAAGTGTTAGAAACTGGTATAAGGTGACCTGCTTGGTTTGAAACATGGAGTTATCAAAGAAACCAGCCCTCTGTCAGTTCAGGTGTACCCATGAAGTAGCAGTCCATAGTGCATGTGCTGTGGGTTTCTAAAGTGCCCATTCAAAATATTTTCATCTCTTTCTTTCCCAATACTTTAGTTTATCTATATATTTAGATGTCCAGCTTTCCATTCTTGATGTTCTATTCAAGATTACTTCACTATATTGAGTAAGGGAAGTAAAAAATTTTTTTCCTCTGTGGCTAAGAGACTGAGCTATTTCCATCTTAGTGAATGGAAGCAGAAAGAAAGGGAAGATGCATTTAAGAAGGAAGTAGGGGATTTGATGTACATTTGTTTAACACCAAGCATCACAAATTTACCTGAAGATTGGGACATACACTAAACATAAAAGAAACACATCCAAAATTATCAAAAGAAATCTTTTTGTCCTTTTTTAATCTGCCATAGTCACTGCCACAAGATGTTCTTGAGATTAAGAAGAAAATCTCAAATTTTCTGGAGAAAGGGACAATGCTTCAGATGGAAGAATGATGAGAAGACTACAGGAACCAACAGAAGAAAAAAGAAAGTGATAGTGGATGAGATGGATGAACTTAGTGCTGGCTTGAAAAGGAAAACAGAATTAGAATATACCTGAGCAGGGGAAGGAAGAGAGGGAGGGAGGGAGAGGTGTACTAAAGAGGAGTCTAAATCTTGAAGCAATAAAAAAACCTGGAACTAACTGACTAGGGAAATCTTTAAAGGCAAACAGCTAATGACAAGGTAGGTACAAAGACTGTATATATCCTATGTGTTGGAATACTGGAAAGGGACATATGGCAACAAGGAAGGGTAGGTGGTCAGGGGCAGTTGCCCAGAGGCTCACTGCCATAGAGCAGCAAGAATGAATAGATAAGGAGCTACAACGTAAAATGGTAATTGAGGCTGTCTGGACAATAAGACTGGGACTGGGAGAAGAAAAGGGACTGTGCGCAAGCACTCCAAGGACTCAGATGAAGAAAGAGATGTGCTGAGAGGAGCAAGTGGAAAGGTTTCATGACAAAGATGAAATTTGGATTCTGAGGCAGCAGCAGGGAAGAGACTATTGAAGGCAAAGCTGTGTCAGAGGAGGCGAGACAGGAGATTTAATGCTGACATGGCATAGACAAATAGCTGAGGAACATGGAATAGTACATGTGATATTTAGGTCCACTCACAGTTCCTCTGCCGTCAGCAAAAGTCTGTTTAAACGCTAGCAGAGTGTGTGTCATCCCACATCAGTGTTGCCAATAAAGAGGTCAGCAACCTATTACTATAAGCTACTCCGTTAAATTAAATTACTTAGACCTGTATGGAAAATTCATATGGTTGGCAGTGCAGCACTTACAAGTAGTTTCATGATGTAACCTCTGTTTTTTCACTTTGCTTTCAAAAAACGTAAAAATAAGCACAGAAAAATGCATATTGATAGTACTATTAAAGTTTCATTTAAGCACCTGGAAATTTTAAAATTTCCAAAGCACTCTGAACTTAGCAATCATTATTATGTTTCCCTGCCCTATCCCATAAATTTGCTCTCCAATACCATATTTAATTGCAAGCATACTGGGGTTTTTTGTTTTGTTTTGTTGGGTATTTTTTTCTCCACAGGCCATTTGCACACTGACCTGCTTTGGGAGTGAACCAGGAATGAGTACTGGGGAAAGATATTGTCTTTAATACTATTTCTTCATTTGTTACACAAACCAATGAGATGCATAGTGATGGAACAAGGCGGCTGTAGGAAGGAGAAGAAGAAATCACATGGCTATCCTAATTGAATACTGGCTCATGCGGTTGGATTCTCTCTCTTTCCCATTACCTGATTCAGTCCCTGATTGCCAGGCATCACACTTTTCCACAGGTGGTCACTAATTGTGTTTTCCTCATTTCTGAGGTCCTGACAGGAGACTCTAGGGTCTGGTTTGCAGAAGTGCTGAGCATTCACAGCTGCAACTGAAGTTAGTGGTACTTGCGTTTTTAACACATAAAGGACTATGTAACATTATATACTCTGAAATATCCATATGATAAATTTTAAGTGAGCTGGTTAGTGAAACCAACTGGCATGAAAAATACAGGGATTTGAATGTGGGGGGAGTTTGGAATTTCTCAAGTCAAAAGCAAAAATCTTTCTGTAATTTGGATCTCAACAAGGTGGGTGGAAAAGACATACCAAAAGGGCCCCAGCTTCAACTGAATGAATAACCATCTCGAAAGGGATATTAAGACTAAGCAGGGAGCTTACAAGGGATGGAAAAAAGGATCGACCAGCAAAGAAAGCTATGTCTTGGATGTCAGAAAGTATACAGGGAAAGTGAGAACTGCCAGGAATCAGACAAAGTCGAACTTTGAAAAGAAAATTAAAGTAAGCAGCAAGAAGTTCTTTGGCTATAGAAATAAATAGAGAACAAGAGAAGAAATGAGATGAAATTGCAATGATATATAAACTAAGGATATGACAGGGATTAGATTCTCAAAGTATAACCAAAAAAAAATAAGGAAGTACTTTACCTCACTTTTCAAATACGGGGGTGATGGATGGGTAGGTTGACAAGCAGGAATGAGAACCTGGAGAAACCAAAATGACGTGAAGCAAAATCCAAAATCCTTGCTACAATGAAGTGAGGAGAGTGGATAATCTCCACTTCTGAATACTGGCACATGAAATTGCAGGTCACAGGTAAAGTAATTTAATAAATCTATAAAAAGTCTAGTACCAGATAACTAGCAAGAGTAAATGACACATTACTTATGAAATTATATTTAATATTTCTAGTAAAATGAAAGAACAGGTTTAGTGCTCCTGAAAGGAAGGTAATCTGATTTGGAGAATTTACTCCCCTTCTAGGCTAACCTCGCTAATATACAGCATTTTAGTCTATATTTTAAAGATAAGGAGAATTGGAAATGGTGGGGAAAAGAAATAAATTGCAGTTGGAGTGTATCACATTTTGTCATGCCAGGATAACCTAATATCTGTGTTTGATATTTGGTGGATTTTGTCTGTGTGTATTTCACAGAAAATTTCTTCTACATTATATATGGATTAAGGGGCAACAGACAGGGTTTAACATTGAAACTTCAAGGTGGGTAAAAGAGTATGCAGGAATTGCTGAGACTTCCTGCTGGCAAGGGAACACACGTAGGCATTCGCCATGATTGTTTTTGTGACTACCTATTTGAATATTTTCATTAATGATGCTGTCTCAGAATTAATGGTATGCTAATAAAATCTGCTCTTGATTTCAAGATGGAAAGCACCGCCAAAAAAAGGAGATATCCAAATATCTTATGCAAAGAATCGTATGACACTCGGGACTGGACTCTTTGTGAGTTCATGCACATTAAGAGCTAAAGCCAGAAATTTCTGCTCTAGGCTTAGAACCCATCAGTTTCCCAATGCATGAGGAGGAAAAAGGACTGGGGTTTTGGATCACATGGTGACAACAAACATTCATGTCATTTGAAGGAGCCCAGGAAGAAGCAAATGAAACTCTTGAACTATGTCAAAGATAACTTCAGTAAAGATAGAGAAGAATTAATACTATTTTACAAGTCACAGATGAGAGCCGAGAAGGGTATGCCTTGAACAGTTCTGGCCCTGTGTAACAAAGAATGATGAATTTAAACTAGAACCTCTATCTTATAGGAGAAAAATAAAAACAGCTTTGCTTGCTTTGTCTGGTAGAAAAAAAAGGCTAAGGCAGGAAATTGTTAATCTCTATAAATGCATGGAAAGAGGTTTGAAGGTATGGGGGCTGTGAGAAGGAGAATAGACACTACTGGATTTCAAGGAAGAGTTCTCTAAGCTAAAAAAAAAACTAAGGGCAAAAGAATTCAGTGATAGGAACTACATGTGTATGCATTAGCCTAGGAACTGCGATGAACTCTGTATCAGAAGTCTACTGAAAAGCTTCTGGTGGAAGAGAGGTGACCATAAAGGCTATGCCACAGCTGTAGCTAGCATCTCTCCACTGCATACTGACTTTCCTGCTACTTTCTTTCCCTGTGACTGGCAGCAGCCTGGATTCCTCCCTCTAACCTCCATGCGGGTTGCTACATGTTCCCTTTAAAATACGTTTGTTATTGCCATGTTCTTTGTACCAGTACTTCCTGATTTTCTGAGGCCAGACATTACAAGCACATAAGTCACAAAAGAGACAAGGAATCTTGTCTTGCCAGCCCATTACAGCGTCATAAGTCTCACAGATGTTCAAATATATTGGTTTTGAAATTAAACTCCCACTATGTGGTTGAATTATTGCTGCTAGTGAAGGACCTGCTTCCATCCTATCTGACCTCCCTTTATTGTTTGGTGACGTTTTCATGGTTGTTTGCGTGTACTGGCATATCTTATTTCCAGTGATGGCTAGAGCTCCAAATTTCCAAATACTAGACTTGTTTCCATTTGTTATAACACATGGACTACTGCTCTTATCCCATAGCAATATTCATGTTTTTCTCTACCCCTGTCTTGCATTTGCCCACGACAGTGGGCTGGGTTAAATTTGAAGGTATCCCTAATCCAGTATCTAATTTCTGAGGATGCTCAAGGCCAGATGTCTGAAGAAGGCTGTGGGAAGAGGAAAATGTAGTGAGACTTCCTCAAAATACTCTTCAGGTTCCAGGAATCTGTGGCTCAGGCAATTCCTGAGCCAGAGATGGGGCCTTTGTTTTTAATAGCGCTGATGGATTTTTCTTCTGTGAATTTGTTCATGAATTTTTAAATGCAAGTTAACTTGTGGTATGCCACAACATCCTGTGGTAAGGAGTTAGCTGGCTTTACTGTGAGTTAAGAAAGTTAAAAGCTACCTTTTTATTTGCTTGAAAAATGCTTCCTGCTTTTCATTTGATGCCCTCTGGCTTGTATACAAGAAGTAGTGTGTAGTTGTGTCCTATTTACCATGCTTATGCCACTTGTGATTTTGCAGACATCCATCATATTGCCCCCTAGGCTGAAGGGTCTTACTGTGTTTAATTTTTCCTTAGATGGAAGCCAGTTCATAACTTTTGTCAGCCTTGGTATCCTGCTCTGAACATTTACCAGATTTACTAATTATTTGGGTGTAGTGGATAATGGTTTCTCCTATGACAGTTTGTACTGGGATTTCATGGCCAGCCAGTACTGAAAGGCAAACTGATAGCAGCCTTGAATTCCAAGGAGCTCATTATGATGGTGGTTTGTTTTTGAGCCTTTAATGTGGCTCTGTCCAGTGGTCGAAGCAGTGCTCTGAGCTGCCAGCTTTGCAGACTTCCTCAACGTGTGTTACACTGTCCCTGTTCTTCCTTTACTTATTTCTGCCACTCCCTTTTCATTGTCATTATGCATACATCCTCTCTGGCTTTTTGCAGACCCTTTCACCCCATCTTGAGTGCCTCCATCTCAAGAATAACAAACATAGCTCTAAAAAGTAAATATCTTCTGACTTACAACTTCAAATGCCAGCAGATCCGAGCCTACCTAGGTTACCTCTCCCCTACATTCCCAATCTTCAGTTGCTAGCTCCTACCATCAATTCCTACCTATTTCTCTGGTTTTCTGTTCTCAAAGCCCTAGCGTGTCTCTTCCTCACTGTCTCCTGCCCTTGCACCTCCTGCCTATGCTAACGCCTCTGGCATAGTCATCATAGCTATTCCCCATTTGGTAGCTGCGTGTACAGAGATCTTCA